GTCCGCTTGGGGGTGACAGTTTGAGGCACAGCAAACAGCAGGCCGGGACACAGGAGTGTGACAAGTACTCAAATTCAGGATTCAGGTTTTGTGTCACGGGTGACAGTAGTGACCGCATGACGCAAAGCGAGAAACGGCGCAGGAGAACAAGAAAGCAATGCGCCAGGACACGTGGAGCACACTAACATGCACATGAAACACGGGAATGCCACCAGCAGCACCGCATGACACAAACCCAGCAGCTGGCCAGGAAACAGGAGTGCGACAGCATGGAACGAAACAACATCGAAAGAGACTCACAAAACGCGGGGATATCACCACTGGAGATAAGAAGCTGAAGTCACACAAGTCTGCTGTCTAGCGTACAAAACACAGTCCGTAAGGTGCTCTCTCGTGGGGGGTCAGTCCAGATTGAAACTATGAGCACAGGAGTGGAACCGCGACACATTTCCGAAAGTGCTATACGAAGAGTAAACGGCAAGAGCAGGCAGCGGTCGATGACGTAACGATTAGAACGATGCAGAGAAAGATGACAAGAGGAATCAAAAAAGTCAATGAAGCTGCAACATACAACAAGACAATGAAACTGCAAACATAGAGTATTATCCAAGGACAGGGAAACAAGTTGCGTACCGAATCACTTCCACCTGGGACTCTGTAGCTCCCATTCTTTACTTCCTACGTCCCGATACGAGAATCCTGCCTAATATCGTTGCTCTGATTCCGCTCGGGGGGTTGGCTAAGGATCCAATGCTATAAGTTCAGGGCTTAGGCTCTTTGTCCATTGCATGAAAGTGTCTTCTCTCCGAGGAGGAAGTAATCAATCTTGGCCATGCCCTGTCAGGGGCTTGGCGTTTTGACGACTGGGCCCTTTGGGGCTATTGCTCTTGGCTGGGGACTGCTCCTGGAATCTGGCTTCATCTGGGGGCGCAAGCGGTCGATGGTCTCAGCATCGTCCTCTGCGTGTTTTGCTTTACTGAATGTTCCTTGGTCGGTGACCCGTAATACCGTCGACCCCGGCTGGGGACGATGCTAGAGTTCCCAAAATGTTCTCCAACTTACGTACAGCGTTCAGCTGTGGGCGCGTCGTGCTCCCACCAAGCTCTCTTGCTGCCCGCGTCTAGCCAGCAAAAAGCATCCGGGAGAGTCGAGGGGAAGCCTGCCGTAGATGCTACAGATCCCAGAGCCTGGCATCCATGTGATCCACACACACACACAACACGATATTCGGGTCTGTACCCAATGTAACTGATATGATGCCTGTTGTGCTGCAATTATCTGCAGCCAAGGCGTTGGCACCCGAAGCTCGCAAACGCTTGACGTTCTTCACCTTTAAAAGCCACAAACCCAAGCGCCGCCAATGGTGAACTATACGGCGTAACACCATTGCAGGTTTGTGATATGACACCATACTACCACTGGCAGTAAGCATGGCAGGAGAAGAACGAAAACAAGACTGATGATACTGCTATTGGCTCACCAAAACACCAGCAGTGGTATCTCGGACACACTGCACGATTGAACCCTGAACCTAGAAAACTATTCCGGAACTAGTTGAATACAAGGCCTTTGCCGACGGGACTTCTGGCGCCGGCTTCAATTGCTTGGGAAGCCGTGTGGGCTCACCCATGTCCTGAACTCCCGTTTGGAGGCTAGAACGAATTTTAAAGGAAATGGTCCGATTGAGGGTTTCGGCTTCAAAACTAGCGGCACACAGGGTTTTGAGTTCGAGGATGTTCCAGTTTCGTGTTTAGTGTTCAAGGTCTTTGGAAAATGTCCTGGCTGCTTTTGGGTCCTGGGTTTCCATGGGGCTTGGGTTAGGCTGTAGGGTTCGGGCTTACAGGGTTCAGGTTTGTTTTATGAAATTTTGTGAAGTTATAATTGCAACCTCCGAACTATCCTCACCCAAGCCACCCTTGGAAGCCATACGACAAAACCACCCAAACCGAGAACCTTCCTGAACACGGAACTTTGACTCCCACGTTAAAACCGTATTCCGGAATCGTGGCTGCGACTCTGAATTGAACTCTCAGCCCTTACATTTCACGAACAGTCGAACCCGGTTCGTCCAAATAGAAGACCGCGCGTAACCAATACGGCTGTCATTATCGGCATAGTGTTCATAGCACTCAAACACACACAGAAATGATTCGCAATTTTGCCATGCTCATAATACTTTGGGCAAGTAACGAAATCTAGCTACATAATACTACTACTACTACTACTACTATTATTATTACTACTACTACTACTACTACTACCACCGCCACCACCACCACCACCCGTATCTAAACCAGAGGCACCCAAGAACTAATTCCTCAGCAAATCCCTAGTCCAACCCACGAAAACCCCTACAACCTGCTTTTCTAGTTTATGTGTATAACGAAATTTGGGCATGACAAACAAACAAACATACATACATACATAAACATGGATACATATGTACATGTGTATTTCTTACATATGTATATATACACACACATATATATATATACATACATACATACATACATACATACATACACACATACATACATACATACATACAAACGTACGTACATACATACGTACGTACGTACGTACATACATACATACACACATACATACATACATACATACATACATACATACATACATACAATGCATGTATTTAGATGTCTATTTTTCTACACTCCAAAAAGCTACATTTCAGTTGAACTCTGCGGCGCCTGCGTGAGGATTTGAAGCGCCTTCAAGGCGGCCTCCGACTCGAAGAAGTCGTCGTCTGCCTCCTTTGTCGGGTTTAGGGTTTAGGGGTTTTTAGGGTTTTTAAATGCGGACTGCAAAAAATTAGAGTTTATAGGATTTGGGGGTTTTAGGAAGACGGGTACCTTCGTCAAGGGTCCTTATTATCAGGATCCTAGGGTTTGGGGTCTTCAAACCGGGTGTTGGAGGGGTGGGTTGTAGGCTTGCAAAAAGCGACTTTCGAGGTCGAACTTTGCTCATGAAGGTCTTGGAATGCCGTAGACCTGTAGGGGTTTAAGAGGATTTACGATGGTTGTACAGAGTCGAGGATAACAAGACCTTTGGTTCTCTTTGGTTTTTAAAACAACACCACCCTGCATAAACACAAAGATGCCATCCAAAAGCCCCGAAGCCCTGCAGCCGATTCAATCCCGGAATCGGGAGGCTCGTAAACGTCGGAGCTGCTTTGCACGGGTCTGTGCAATCAGGATCCTACTTCCAATGCGTGCAGATAGGTTGCCGATAGCTGACAGTCCCTGCATCCCAAAAACCTAAAAACCTAGTCCCAAACTGCTCCGTGCCTTGGACTCTGACTTTGAGAGGTCCACTCGCGGCAGTGTCGTGGCCTCTGGGCATCTGGACGGTTGAGGGGTTCCGCTGCGTCTTGAACCTAGGCTGTGTATCCTTGCATGGTGTGTACGCGCACTGCTTGCGGTATGCATAATGCTAGTCTAGAAGGCGTGATGCAGTCCATCCTGATGGTTTAGAAACTTCCGGTGTTATCACTCGGCAAAGAAGCTTTACGCACAGAGTGGGCCGGGGCGAATTAGCGATCCTGTAATTAAGGATCCAATTTTATTTAGGTTTCGATGAGTTCTCTTTTGCGAACGTGTCCCCAAGTTTCTGAAACCGCCATAAGCAGAAGCAACAAGCACAAAGGACTTCAAAGGACTGGTCCAGAACCTGATTTAGGCTTACTATGATGTAACAGAACTTTGCAAGGCATGCATCCAGGCACTCCACAGCCCATAATCCGCAAGCGATAACCCGGAAACTCAAACCCAGATCACCCAAAAAAAACCATACAGCCCACAGTCTCAAATCCCTGCACTCCTTAGGCAACCAACCTAAAGCCTAACACCCAGCACTGCCCATAACCCCAAACGTAGCACCATAAGCCGTATCTAGATCCCACAATCTTAAACCGGAGCCTAAGAAAAATACCCCTTAACACAACCATAACAGCCGTACACGCCCTAAAACCTGCAAACAACAAACCCTTCAACATGCTGAATACGAAAACCTGAAGCCTGAAGAAGTCTGTACACAACCCTTAAGAAGCACAAACTCTTGCCCTCGCCTTCTCACGAGCCCAGGGCGGTGGAATGGCAGCATTAGGTTTTGCACTGCCTTTGTTGCGCGGCAGGAGCATCCACTGCCCGGGCCATAATCATTACAACAGGACGCTGGAGTATATGATAGCAAAGTTATACACTGATACACAAACTATGATGAGAAATTTATCAAGCGATTATGAATCGGACTTCTCCACCAGTGTCGTGGGTTTACGGTGAACAGCAGAGGGACTATGGCTTGCGGATATTGGGTTTGGGGTTTATAGTGGTTTGGGATTCAGGAGCTAGGGCGTTGAGGGTTTCGTTTGGGGGAGCTTCGAGGGTTTGCGGTTGTGGGTTTCGACTCACACGTCTGAGCGGTTGTGGGTTTAAGGGTTTCGGCTTCTGGAGATTCAGACCCTCAGCCTTATACGCTTGAACCTGACCCTTGAAAACTCCTATCTGGTCCACTGCGCTCTACGTCCGTGGCTGGCTCAAATAGAAGGGTTGACTGGGGCTTATAGGTTGTTAAGCATGTGTTCGTAGGGGCAGGCAAGGCTTGATGAGTCCTAGCGGTTTGTATTGCTAGGGTGTGGGCTTTCGGATTCGGAGCTGAGTTGGGAGGTCAGATTCTCATGCAGAACTTGGCTGTACATGCTTCAACTTCGCAGAGTCCTGAGGGATGCACCATTCACCGGACTGCCTTGCGCAGCCTGCCAAAACAAGCGGCGTAGGGCTTGGGCATCTTCTTCACAAAGGGTTGGGGGGAATGTCGAGTGTGAGGAAAACGCTGAATCAGGAATCATATCGTATCTCTTAAGTCTTCGCCCACAGCCCGCGGCCGTCTTCCACGTTTCCCAGCCCTCGCTTTGGCCCAAACAAAACACTACCCCTCACAGGACATTGAAGGAAGCCTCCCAACTTTCATGTGCACGTTCCGGCCTGGTCTTTGTGCTGCGTCTCCGAAGGTTGTACCTGGAAACATCATGTGGTCTAGTATACAAGTGCCTTAATACTTAGAATACTATAACTACAGTAAGAAGACCCCGCAAAATAGTATTGGTAATGATCTAAGCCTCTATATTAAAAAGCGCATGTGATTTCATCCCAGTCCCAAGCTCGAAGCCCTAAAAAAATCCAACAGAAACTCTTGGGCCTGAGGCCGGGGCCTGTGTAGCAAAGGGCAGTGATGGCAGGGGTTGGCGCCCATCCCATGTTGATGGGATTTGATACTTGCTGCAAACACTTTGGTACAACAGCTGCTCCTGATCCTTGTACTTGCTCAACAAGTAGCCGATCTTGGAAACATTGCTAGGGTTGTGCACCGAGTAAATCGTTGCCAACCTGCTCTTGTACTCTTCCAATGGTAGAACATCCGAGCCAGCCGCGGGGCCTAAAACTCCAGCCACTCGGTCGACGAAGCTGGGGAGCCCATCGGAATGAAGCGAAGGGGATTGCAACGGCCAAGGCGTCGACGGTGCAGAAGCCTTCTGAGGTGGTGCCGGCAGCGTCGCGCTCCGCCAGGGAGCCGAAGGTGGCGCCGGCAAAGGGGACGTCTTATGCCAAGGTGCCATCGGGGCAGGGCCAGAGGACGGCACAAATGGTATCGCCATGGATTTCGACATCGTCGTCGGGACGGCCGGCTGCTTCGCACTGGCCGCTGCGAGAGCATCCATCGATACCTTGGCTGTCGCCCCATTGTTCGCTTCCTCGCCCTGGTTCCGTGCGGCTCTCCTAGCAGGGGGGGGGATACTCAGTGTAGGATATCTCTCTGCTTGGGCTCTGCCAATAAGCCCGAGCATCCTGGGTCAAAGAATGATCTGAAAAATCACATCCAACACTGCCTTAAGATCCCACGCCTACTGCAAAGCTGGAACAACTGCTTCTATTCATTCCCACAGTGTGGGGCTGTGGGGGTACCTCTTTTTTTGGAGCTCTCATATTCGGGATCCAGGATAAATAACTAAGCATATATATATATATGTATATATATATATACATATATAATATATGCATATACATCTATTTATTTATTTATTTTTAGACATACACACTATATACATGCATAGGTGGTTATGCACAGATACACATACACATATAAACATATAAACATATAAACATATAAACATATACACATATAGACATATACACATATACATAAACATACACATACACATATACACATATACATACACATATACATACACATACATACATACATACATACATACATTCGTATATACATTTATACACAGATACATATGTCAAAGTATAGATGTAGCAATGTATGCATGTATATCTATCTACATATACACATTGTACACATCATATATACATATACATACGTATATATATATACACATGTACTTGTGCATATTTCAAATTTGCAATTGTGGATATACATATATGCAGCTTATATACATGCGTACATACATACATACATACATACATACATACACAGATACACACATACACACATACACACATACATACATATACACACATACATACATACATACATACATACATACATACATACATACAACATATATACACACAACATATATACACATAGGTGCATATATGCACTTGCTGACTGACCAACACATACTTGCCTCACTCGTCAACCTGCCTTGCAGGCTGGACTTCGAGCGCGCCCCGCGCCAAGCAGCGTGCGGGCTTGTCATCCACGAAGATGGCGAGTGTCTCTGCAGTGTCCTGCAGCCCTAATGCTACACTGCTGCGGCTTTTTCTTCTTCATTTTGCTGTACAGTAACTGGCTCCTTGACCAAAGTCAAGCTCGCGTAACGACCCGACTGCTCGCTGCGGGCAGTAAACGCGAGCATGCAGTCCTGAGTTGGAAGGGAGGACTGTGGCCCAGCTTTTGCCTCCAAAAAGGTTGAAGGCTCAGGTTTGTGCAGATGCAGGATGGAGGGCTGACTGCTGACTGCTTGCAATAAAGATTTAGCTTGGCAGGGCCTGGGGTGCTGGTGTTAAACGGGCCTGGACCCACGTGGCAGGACTGTCTTGACGATGCAAGTATAAGGAGATCACTTGGACCAGCCCCAAGACGAGAACTGGTGCCCAGCTTCGTTCGTCCATAATTGTTTTTTCGATGATGGAAAGACACTCTACGATCACTACAAACGTACATTCCAAGAAGAAACGTTGTGCTGCTGATCGTGAGCACTTCTTTATCCTGCCCGTCTTAGCCGGAAGGCAGCCTTTCGCATGAGGAAGACAACCGAGTGCACCCGAGCCACCGAAACCACCACGGCGGAAGCCCGGTACTGCTGCAGAAGCTCCAGCCACAGGGCCTACTCATGAAAAGCTTTGGAGGTGAAATCCCACATCGCCCAAACTAATCCACAAGCCATGCGCCCACAGCGAGAGAAAGCAGAAAAATGCCGGACACGGACACGCCCGGCCTCTGGATCGTAAGACCCCTTGACCCGGCTCGCCTGCGCCTGCGCCCGAACCTGAGCAAACGGATTGACAATGATTGACCTCCTCTTGAGGCGTTTCTCGTTTCGGGCGAAAAACGGCAGATCCAAGCTTTGGGTTCAGGCAGGCTGGGGATCACAGTAATTGTCAAGAGCAAAATCCGCATCAACATGATTTACAACCATGGCATCGCTGGCATGAACATCGCATCATCATCATCATCACCACCATCATCATCATCACCATCACCGCTGTCACCATCATCATCATCATCATCGTCAGCACCATCATCATCAGCACCATCATCATCAGCATTATGTTGTCCTGCTGCGAGTGGTATTAGCAGTGTCCAAAGCAACGATGCCGATTGCATCTTTAGCTGTGCTAATCGGAAGCAGGCCCGTCAACTAGTGCTGCAAGATACGACGACCGGCGCGGATGAGTAAATCATTCGTTGTTGGGGTTTCTTGCGTGTGGAAACGTCAAGAAACTTGCCAGCAAGTGATGAAGAACTACCCAGTTCGTCACAGCACGTCTCCAAGCTACTGGTCCGGGCTATTTCGCATTGCTTATGTTTCCAGTCCTTGTGTCGTCGGCACTCACACACGGTCTGGCATGTAGATTTTCGGGTATCAGATTCTGAACCGCAGTCGGCACTGACAGCCCCCTCAATGTAGTAAGAATACTGAGGCCCGGCACCACCAGCTCGTGCTTGCTAAAGTCAAAGACGAGGTGGTTCATCGGGCAAGCCTCTTCAGCTGAGCATTCATGGGTCGTACTCCACGCGAAAGCCTCGTTGATTTCTGGACAGTGCCGGAGGTGGGCGCCATGTTCTAGTCTCCACAGCCGCGCCTGCACCGAGATGTCCTCTGAACGGAAGACATTCGACTGGTCATCCTGCCGAAAAGATTTAAACGGTAGCAGACTCTGACGTGTCCTTGGAGGCATCCACTCCCTTCATCTACATTGACATGCACCTCTGAGATCTTTGCTCGTAGTTTCCACGAGCACTCACTAGGCCACTCACACTCTCATGCGAAACCTCCATCCACAATCTACCATGTCCCATTTTTCATCTACACTTCGACGGAGTCTTGCATGCCGAAAGAGAATCGCTACCCTTTACCACTATGGTCGTCGTCGTCGTAGCAGTAGCAGTAGCAGTAGCAGTAGCAGTAGCAGTAGCAGTAGCAGTAGCAGTAGCAGTAGCAGTAGCAGTAGCCAGTAGCCGTAGCCGTAGCGGCAGCG